TCGATTCCGGTCAAGGGCATTTACCTGGGTTGCCGGCACATCCCCAGTAGGAGATATGCAGGAGGCAGCTGATCGATGTTTCTCTCTCATCGATGTTTCTAACTTTCTATATCTCTCACTTCCTCTCTGTAAAAAATCAATAAAATATATTAAAAAAAGAAAACTAATACAGGAGAGCCTGGCTGGTGTGGCTCAGTGGTTGAGCTTTGACCTATGAACCAGGAGGTCATGGTTTCATTACCATGGTTCTGGGCTCGGTCCCCAGTGTGGGGAGTGCAGGAGGCAGCCGATCAATGATTTTCCCTCTTCATTGATATTTCTATCTCTCTCTCTTCCTCTCTTAAATCAATAAAAACATATTTTTAAAATACACGACATCCAGTTAAATTGATATTAAAGATAAACAATAAATATAAAAGAAAAAACTAATATAGGAGGGAGAGAGAATGAGAGAGAGAGAGAGAGAGAGAGAGAGAGAGAGAGAGATTATATACTGAGAAAGCACGAGTTGGGAGTCTAATGCATGAGTTGGAAGTCAAAGATTGTCCTGACCTAGGACTTTGAAAATTCAAATATTGGTACCTTAGTTTGGGTTCCTCCAGAGGCAGACCCTGAGATAAGAAGTTAGTTTATCCAAAAGGTGATCCTAGTAAAACCAGGTAGTATATCGGGGAAATGAGACATGGAAGGGCAGGAAACCAATAAAGGCTACATATCATTCAAATGACCATCATGGGCAGCAATAGCTTAATCCTTTCAGGGAATTCTGGGAGCTAATGAAGACTATGCCTCAGAGTTATCCCATCCAAGGGGCCAGGGAATTGGGCTATTTAGTCACCATCAGATGTAGGCTGAGGGCAGCTTCGGAGGGGAGAGGGGAAGCTAATTCCTCAGACTGCTGGCTGATTCTCACATGGAGGCATCTTGTCCACACCTTCCCTCCTCTAACTTCTGTGTGTGTGTTTGTGTGTGTGCATGTGAGCTACTCTTCATTTTACTGTCAGGTACTTTATACCTATTTAATTCTCCCAATACTTCTTTTAGGTAGAGATTATATCTTCATTTTACAAACGGGAAAAGCTAAGATTTAAGAACTTAGTCACTTGCAAAGGTCATCTAGCTACTACGAGTCAGAACTTGGATTAGAAACGCTGTTTGAACACCAACAGAGCTTAAATAGGTCAGAGTTGGACTACCTCCCTAACTCCTCAGTGGGACATTCCGTGTGTGTGTGTGTGTGTGTGTGTGTGTGTGTGTGTTTCAGGCTTGGTCTAACCTTTTACCCGTAGCCTTTGCTCTCTGACTAAGCTACATGATGGAAGGTGGCCTTTCTACTCCTTGTGCCCCTTATTACTGCTGAAATTATTTTTGATTCTTTGTTCCATAAGCCTATATGTGAATGGTGTTAGAGCGGTCCCTAGCGAGAGAGAGAAAGAGAGAGAGAGAGAGAAAGAGAGAGAGAGAGAGAGAGAGAGAGAGAATGAATCCAGGAGGCCACACCAGCCAGAGAGTTTGTAGAGCAGTGGCATTGCCTGGGAAACAAGGAATGTGTGAGGCTTTGTACTGAGGAGGCAGAGCCTTGCTGTTCTAGTAGCCACCAAAAGAGACAGATTAGCTAGCTCTCTTTGGAACAAAACAAGTTTTTTTTGTAGCCCTGGAGGAATGGCCCTCGTGAGGGCATTTTTTTTCTTTCCTTTTTCTTTTTTGAAGTTCTCCTAGGTAGCCCTGCTCTGGCTCGCTGTTGAGAAACATCAATTAGAAAGTGGAGATGGAGTCAAAGCCTTCCCATAGTCTCATCCTGAATGTTGGTTTTGTTGCCTGCCGATTTCTGTAACTATGAGGGGTCACTCATCGAGGAAGAGCATTCTGCAGAGAGATGATATCTCAAAACGTATGGGTTTGTTGGGAGAAATATGTGATCAGGGTGCGGGGTGGCATGGGGTCCTGGGTGCGTTTCTGTAAGGCAGAGGAGGTGCTCCCGTTTCCATACTGGAAAACTGAAAAACATCAAAGCCTTCTATGCTGAGAGTAAATATTTGATTTCTGAATAGAATTCCAGCCCCCTCGGAAACTGAGAGGAACTCGGGCTTGTGTCCATGGTTGCTGAACGTGCCCTATTCAGCAGCTCTCCAGAGGAACAAAGAGGAGAAATTAATTGGCTTTCAAGTGATGGAAGGATCCAGTTTGCTGACCTATTTAAGCTGTAGTGAGGGCATTCTAGAGAACATTTCTGGAGTCCTGTTCTTCTAAAGCTTCAGTGCTTAAATAAAAACAGATTGAAAAATCATGGGGAAGCCACAAATACCCCCAACTCATGAAAGGCTTCATTGTTTTTCTTCTCCTGGATCCTCGGATGGTGTCCTCTCACCAACCATGTCCGGGAAGGATTCTCTCCCATCCTCCATCTCTCGCCCCTTTTCAAAGAGGGAGGGGCCGAAGTGGAAACCAGCTAGTCTGCTGTGTGAAGAGCACTCCAGGTTCCAGAGATTAGTAATGTTGCTGGTGGAAATGGGGTCCTTCCACAAAGTAGCAAGAAAAGCATTTCCAGGAACCGACACACGGGAGGGTGAAGTGTAGTGGTAAGATTGGGGTAAAAATAAAAGACTGCCGCTAGGTCCATCATGTCTTATCTCCATCCATCCCATGTGGAAGAAGTCTAGCCTTGTTTACATAAAACCCAGCAGAAGGGCCAGGATCTAGAAATTCTGTGCCATTGGTTCAATCCAGGCCAAAGCTTAGCCCAGTTTCGTCTCTGATCCCATCCAGCTGGCTTGTCTCTGTTCCCAGCTGTGCTCCAGCCAATGATGTTTGCTGCTCCCAGGTTCGCGCTTGGGCCCCCATGAACGCATGAGAGAGAGAGAGAGAGAGAGAGAGAGAGAGAGAGACTATGTTAAGTTTTGCTTATATTGTCCCGGTCTTTCAAACTGACCAATCTCTTTCCCAATCCTTCAGAGGTTGTGCTGGATCCTCCTCCTAACCAATCCATTTCCTAGATTTTCTGGGGTTCTGTGTCCCTTACCCAATGATTCTTTCCCCAGGCTAGAGACCTCCCCTTTATGGTCACCATCTTGGCTTTTACTGCTGCAAGTCCTAACGTTCTGCTGCTGTCATCTGGTTTCTACTGCACATGTGCTTGTCTCCCCTTGCACCATCTTGGCTTCTATTGGGCATGTGCCCAAGACGAATGCACTCCTCTTCCCCGGTGCCCCCCAATCCTGCTACAAGGCTGGATGAGATCAAGTCCCTTCTGCCAAGGACGTGTCAGTCCCCTGGGGAGCCTTTGAATGCCGTGGCTTCCTAGTGAACCAGGCTTATCTTCTGGTTCAACTCCCTAATTTATTAGGCTTATTATCTGATTCTATTTGCCTCCTTCCTTTATTGATACGAACTAGCTACCTACACTAACACTAAGAGGAGTGGGAGGAAGGTAGGGCGGAAGGAGGCTCATTCAAAAGTACAAGAAGACAATTCCTGTCTAGGTGCTTAAATATAGTTGGAAAAGCAGCATCTAATTCTATAAGTAAGTATAATTGGTAATACATTTGCATTGCCCCTCACAAACTGTCTTTTCAAATATTATTTACTCTTCTAACAACTCTGTGTTTAGAATTTTTTCTTTTTCAAGGAGAAACATGGAGGTTAAGGAATCTGCTCAAAATCACGTATTTTGTAAGTCTGCATAGTTCTAACTCAGCCTGTGCTTCTTTGCCTACTGTCCATACTATACTCCTGAAAGAAGTTGCATTTGGTCAGGCCCAGAAGTAAAAACCAGTATGAAAAAGGAAGGCTCTGAAATAAGATGTGAAGCGGAGGATAAGGTGGGCAAAAGGGACTGTAGAAAACAAAGCTTAATTAGCAAGAGAAAAATTGGGTTCCCAGTAGTGAGTCCAGGGACACTAAGAAGATAGATCGTCATACAAGGATTCAACATAAGAAGAAACACTGCCTCTACCTGTGCACTAGATTCCCATTTCCTCTTGCCCACTTAAGGACATTTCTAGATGTGACACGGCACCAGAGTTAAGTTAGGGTTTTTCAAAATGCTGACACGCCGAGCTCAAAAGGTTCACCATCACTGTCATAGACCGAGCGGCTTAA